GTTGTTCTGCACTGAAGTGTTTGGCGCTACGCAAGCCAGCCAATAACGCTTCGTACTCGGCCTCGTTGTTTGAAGCCTTCCAGCCTAGCCTAAGAGCCTGTTCCCAGATAAATCCTTCTGGAGAAATAAGAACTACTCCTGCCCCAAGCCTCAGTTATTGGACGAACCATTGATGTAGAGTTGCCAGATGTTTCCAATAAAGAGTTTCCATGCTTCCGAAGCGCTGGGTTTTCCTTGTTTGGTGGCGCATGGCACCTGTGCCGAACTCAGATTCCCCGGTTCGGTACTCTGGGTGGGAGTAAATTCTGCGACAAAATCCGCGAAGACCTGGGCCTTGATTGCTGTCCTAGATTGATACCGAATGTCAAACTCACCAAGTTCTACCGCCCGCTTTGTTGTTCGGCCAGAGAAATCGGCTCGGCTGAATACAGATCTGAGGGAGAATTCAGTGAGGACGTTATGGTATGGCCCTGGAAGTAATTTCTTGAGGCGATAAGTAGCGCGTAAGCTAACTTTTCTAGTGGTAGATACCGTGTCTCGGCATCTAGTAAAGTCTTGCTAACATAATATACTGGTCTCTGTTCCTTGTCAACTTCTCGAATTAATACTGTGCTCACGACATGATCTGAGACTGCTAGATAGAGGTACAGCTCCTCTCCCGGTTCTGGAGTGGACAGTGGAGGAGGTGTACTGAGGTATCTTTAGAGGCTCTGCAGTGCTTCGGTACATTCGCTACTCATTCAAATGCTGCCTTTTTCCTCAAAAGCTGGAAGAAGGGTTTCATCCGATCTGAGAATTTGCTAATAAACCGATTCAGTGCGGCCGCCATTTCGGCTTGTTTCTACAGTTCCTTAGACTTTGTTGGCACTTCGAGATCCTGTATTGCCCTGATTTGATCCGGATTCGCTTCAATTCCTCTGTGAGTGACTATGTATCCCAAGAACTTCCCTGTTCCTACCCCGAAGGCGCATTTCGAGGCATTGAGGCGAAGCTGGTGGTTTTTCAGGATGCTAAAAACTTCTCTCAAGTCTGTGAGGTGGTTTGTAGCGAACTTGCTTTTTACTACCATATCGTCTATATAGGCTTCCATGGTTTTCCCCAGTTGGTCTTTGAACATCCGAGTGATCATTTGCTGGTAGGTCGCCCCGGCGTTCTTGAGGCCGAACAACATTACTCTGTAGCAGTAAGTCCCTCTCGGAGTGATAAACGCTGTCTTTTCTTGATCCAGACCGAACAGTGGTATTTGATGATAACCACTATAAGCGTCTAGAAAGCTCATGCGCTCATGCCCTGCTGTTGAGTCTACTAGTTGATCAATGCGAGGCAACGGAAAACTATCTTTAGGGTTGGCTTTGTTCAAGCAAGTGAAATCAACACAAACTCTCCATTTTCCGTTCTTCTTCTTGACTACAACTGTGTTAGACAGCCATTGCGGGTACTGAACTTCTCTGATTGCTCCCGAGGCCAGGAGTTTTTTGACTTCGGCAATTACTGCTTCGGTGTGCTCAACTGAGGATCTCCGACTTTTCTGTACAATGGGCCGAGCTGAAGGATTGACGTTGAGCTTGTGGCAAGCAAATTCTGGGTCCAACCTTGGAGTATCATATGTTGACCACGCGAATACCTCCGTATTTTCCCTCAGCAGTTCCAGTAGCTGAAGTTTCTCATCAGTGCCTAGCGAGGTACCGATAAAGAAGTACTTTTCCGGGTCATCTTCTCTTACTAAGACTTTCTCCAAATCCTCTACCTTCTTTTCCTCTGGAGTTCCCCCTACATCTTCCAAGACCGGCTGTCCGGCCACTTCTACCGTCTGTACCCGATTGCAGAGCTACTTTGCCTTTAATGCTGCCATGAAACAATGTTTGGACGCAACTTGATCCCCTGAGATCTGCTCTACTCTGTGTTCCGTTGGGAAACGGATGAGCTGGTGATAGGTTGAAGGGACTGCTTCCATTCGATGAATCCACGGACGGCCAAGTATGGTGTTATAAGGGGATGGTGTATTAATAACCAAAAACTCTATCTGGAGGGTTTTTGTCCCCGCTACGACTAGCAATACTATTCTGCCGAGCGGCCATTCCGGCTGTGAATTGAAACCGACCAACGGGGCTGCTGCTGGGGTGAGATGCTGCTCGGTGAGGCCGAGCTTTCTGAACAAATCATAATACAGTATGTCTATTGCACTGCCCTGATCTACTAGGACTCGTTTTACATCAAATTGTTTCCCAATCCCGACAGTTATAATCAATGCATCAGTATGTGGGTGCTGTATGCCTTCTAAATCTTTGCTAGTAAATGAAACAGAGCACAAGGGGGATTTAGGTATTGTACGCACCTTTTTCGATGCCGGTTCCATTGACATGATTCACTGAATTTGCGCGGCCTTAATGATCTCTTCCTTCAGTGGCTCCTCAGATTCCTGAGCCGCTGTCCCATGGATCACATTTATTATCAGCCGGGGTGGATGCTCAATATTTGCTTCTGGAGGTGGGTTCTCCAGCTCGGCCACTTCTTTATCCTGATCAATGTATTCCCTTAGGTGTCCAGCTGCCACCAGGTCTTCTAAGTATTGCTTCAGTGCCCTGCAGTTCTGAGTCATGTGTCCCCTGTCTTGGTGGTAGGTGCATCTGAGCTTCGAATTACGTTGAGCTGGATCTCCTAACATTTTTGGCAACCAAACAAAGAAGGGCTCTCTCTTGATTTTTTCCAGGATTCGATAGATTGGCTCTTTGAACACAGTCACAACGGCTTCGTGGGATTTTGACTTATCCACCTCATTCACTACAATCCCTCGGTGTTCTCCTCGATCCGTTCTCTTCTTCTGCCAGGCTGTTTGTTCTGCTGACTCTACCTCGATGGGGATCTGATCGTCTTCGAGGCGAGCATACTGCTCAATCCTGGCGCGCAAGTCTTTCAAAGCCGTGGCGGGGCGCTTGGTAAGTGATTGTCTCAACTTACTTTCCGGGCGCAGACCATGTTTGAAGGACATAACGGCCATCTGCTCGCTGCATACATTTTCTTCCAGATCATTATACTCTTCCCAGTATCTCCTAGCATAATTGCGCAGCGTTTTCTCTTGCTCCTTCCTGAGGCCGAACAATGTATCCGGCTCTTTCGGGATCTTAGTATTGGAGACGAACCTGGCTAGGAACTCTTCAGAGAGCTGCTTCCAACCATGAATCGATCCAACGGGGAGTCGATCGAACCATCGGAGTTCAGTTTCTCCCAAGCTGGATAGGTAGACTTTGCACATCAGTGCCTCATCTCGGCTCCATAGGGACATCATCTGTCTGAAATGGCTGATATGTGTCAGAGGGTCCGATTTCCTATCGTACGAAGTGAACTTCTTTGGAGGTCTGATGGTCTCAATCTCCAAAGAGAAAGGCAAAGAGATGAGCCTGTCCAGCGCTCGATGTTCTCTCTGGTGAACAATACGGTCCAAATGATCTCAATGTTACTCGTTTTGCCTATTGCCAATCAGTCAAGTGCAAAGGTCTTGAGGAGGGTATTCAGTTTGTTGACTAACCGTCTTCTGCCTCTTGGCCCTCCTCCGGCGTGACCCACGGGTGTGGCTACTCGCCGCTTCACTCTGTGCTGGGATGGGTAGGCTTCGTTGCCCACAGTCATTCCTGGGGAATTTTTTCACTGGTAGTTCTTTAGACGAGCTCCTTTGTTGCAAACGAGAGGGCTCTGCTTCCGTCCTCTTTTTCGTCGGATCACCCAACACCTTCTTAAGTTGAGCTTTCAATTCCTGTATCTCCATTCCCATGGAATCTATAATTCGATCTCTATAATCCTTTTCCAGAAGGAAATGATGAGAAGAACCTCCGGCGAAGGGCAGTCGATGCTCGACGGATTCGGGGGTTCGATTATTGTTTCCAGTTTGCTCCTCCAGAACTGTTGGGAGTGCCAAACCTTTGTCCTTCGTCTTCTCCGTCTGTGGAGTATGTGCTAAAGGCAGAATGTCCTCAATCCCCATTGCCGGAACTGAATGCAGAGCTTAGAGATAAAGTGATCCACGCTCACCTCACCAATTGTGCGTACCGAATTCCGCACTAGATGAAAGTGGATCGGGGCTCCGCACTCAGTTGGACTATCTAGGGACCGGGACTCCTGCCACAAGAAGCACCGTTAGAGCTGCCCGGCCGTGGTTGGCCGGGTAACCCCTCTGGCGTGGGAATCAGTGATCGGAGAAGGAATGTATGTTAAGTGTGATTAGAGCAGTTCTCCTTAGTTCAGTTCAATTCAGTTGCCTTCAATGTGAAGTTTATGAAATATATATAGTATTCCTTACTTGTTTCTCAAGGTGGTTTCATGGAATGTGGATACTGCCAGGTGTCCTTTCAGCATTGCTCCAGGTGGGGGACCACCTGGTAGTTGTTATTGATTGCATATACTCATTGTAGGCATGCTGATAACAAATCACATTCCTTTGGTTCAACAACTTCCGTGATTCTAGGTGTGGGGGACCAGCTGAGGTGGCAACCTGCACATGCTTGCAATCACAGCTCCCACGTTTCCTTGTGAGGTTTCTCCAGCTCGGTACTCATGTACTTCAGTTCGGTACTGATATGTCTCGGCTCGGTCTTTTTTAGGATCATTCATAGAGATGGACTGGCCCATTATCTGTTCGGCCCACAGATTTCGTTTCGCAGCTCGGCCCAGACCAGCACTACGGCTGGGCTAGCCTTTCCACTGCGGGTTGGGCCCAAGTGCTTGAGGACTTGGGTGGACTGTTGATCATGAAGTTGGGCTCAACTAGTTTGTCCATATACTCATCTGATCCACTTGGATTTGGACTTTGTCGGATTAGGCCGGCCCAAGGCTTGGACCTGACCCATTTCACATTTAGCCCCTTCAGATTGTAACACAAAAGTCATTTAAAATATCTCCCTAGATTGACTAGCCAAGGAAAAACGCACTATATATAGTGCGAATAACATTCGATATTAAGTCACAAATACACCGAATACTAAATTGTGTTGTGTTGCATGTTTATCATGGGTTCATCATCCATGAGAATTGCAGCAATTGTTTTTTACCTTTGCTTTCTCACCTTTGTAACATTTCATAATTGCTTTTGCAATGGAAACTCCAACATTGTTTGCTCCAAAACTGAAAAGCAAGCCCTTCTAAAATTCAAGCAAGATCTTAAAGACTTTTCGAACCGGTTGTCCTCTTGGGCTGGTGACAACTGTTGTCAATGGTCCGAAGTTGTCTGCGACTACTTCACTGGCCATGTCCATGTGATCCACCGTCCTCATAATTATAGTGATGCTGATTGTCATTATAAAGCAAATTATTCTAAATATGAAGCTTACTGGTGTTATCACCAGTTAGGAGGTAAAATAGATCCTTCTTTGCTCGATTTGAAGCACCTCCGTCATCTGGACTTGAGCCGGAATGATTTTGGAGGGATTTGCATTCCTAGCTTCATTGGCTCTATTGCAAGTTTGAGGTATCTCAACCTGTCTTATAACGGATTCAGTGGAGCCATTCCTCATCAACTAGGAAATCTCACCATGATGCGCTATCTGGACTTGAGCTGGAACGATTTTGGAGGGATTTGCCTTCCTAGATTCGTTGGCTCTATTGGAACTTTGAGGTATCTCCACCTATCTTGTGCCGGATTCAACAGAGCCATTCCTCATCAACTAGGAAATCTCACCATGATGTGTTATCTGGACTTGAGCGGGAATCATTTTGAAGGGATTCGCATTCCTAGCTTCATTGGTTCTATTGGAACTTTGAGGTATCTTCACCTGCCTTATGCCGGATTCAGTGGAGCCATTCCTCATCAACTAGGAAATCTCACCATGATGCGTTATCTGGACTTGAGCTAGAATGATTTTGGAGGGATTTGCCTTCCTAGCTTCATTGGCTCTATTGGAAGTTTGAGGTATCTCCACCTATATTATGCCGGATTCAGCGGAGCCATATATCTGGACTTGCATTATCTGGACTTGAGCTGGAATGATTTTGGAAGGATTCGCCTTCCTAGCTTTATTGGCTCTATTGGAAGTTTGAGGTATCTCGACCTGTCTAATACCGAATTCAGCGGAGCCATTCCTCATCAACTAGGAAATCTCACCATGATACGTTATCTGGACTTGAGCCGGAATTATCTTGGTCTTCCAGGTACTTTTGTTGAAACTGAACTATAGTTACGTGGTGATAATTTACAATGGGTTTCGGGTCTTCTTTCATTACAACACCTTGATATGTTAGGGGTAAACCTCAGCAAAGCAGTGGATTGGGTAGAGGTGATAAGCACGCTTCCTTCTTTGGTAGAATTGCACTTAGGTGGATGTGATCTCAAATATTCTTCTACTTCAACTACCATTAACTTTACATCACTACATATCCTCCACCTTTCTTATAACAATTTTGCATCGTCTATACCTAAGTGGATTTTTAGTTTGAATCATCTAGTTTCCCTAGATATCTGTAATTGTAACTTTGATGGCCCAATTCCCAATGGTATTCAAAACATGACTTCTCTCAAAGAGTTTTGTGCTGGTGGAAATAATCTGAATTCATCATTGCCCAAGGAGTTGTCTAGCCTCAAAGACCTCGGGTGTGTTTGGTTTGAGTTTTAGAGATGAGTTTTAGAAAAAAATTTCCAAAAAATTGTTTGATTTGAGATTTTTCTCAAAAAATTTCTAAAATCACCTTCTCTCTCTTACACATCAATCAATCACTTTTTCTCTCTCCTCTCTCATTCTTAATCACTTTTTCTCTCACACACATCTACTCAATTACAACAAAATATCAAATCATCCCAAACTCCCAAACTCCAAAACTACTTTCAAAATATACAACCAAACAAACCAAATTTTTTTTTAAAACAACTCTCCCAAATTTTTTTCAAAAATAACTCTGCCAAAAACAAACCAAACAAGCCCTCATTTCTCTGGAGTTAGGCTTTAATATGTTTCGGGGACCAATTCCAACTGGCCTTCAAAACATGACTAGTCTTAGAGATCTAGATTTGTCCAATAATTATTTCACTTCCTTGCCAAATGGGTTGTTGTCTAGTCTTAGTCGTCTCGAGTCGATCATTCTTAGGGATAATCTCTTGCAAGGTGTAATCTCAGGAGCCATTGAAAACTTGACTTCCCTTATTATCCTTTACATGTCATACAATCAACTTGAGGGAAACTATAAACACCCCATTTTTTCTACAGAAACATACTAAGATCATTGGGAAAATTATGCAAGTTGAAGAGAACTGATTTATCATATAACAAATTGGGTGGAGAAATAACAGAACTTTTCAGAAGTTTCTCACATTGCATGTTATGTGGATTGGAGTCAATGGTATTAGAGAACAATTATATTGGTGGTCAATTTCCAAATGAGCTTCACCAATTCAAAAATCTAACCCACCTTTCTCTTCAAAATAACTCCATTTCTAGTCTCATTCCAATGTCGATCAAAAGATTATCATCCTTGGCAACATTACATCTTTCCTATAATCATTTGAATGGAACTCTTCCTGAAAGTCTTGGGCAACTTGCAAAATTAGAAACCTTAGACCTTTCATATAATCATCTGAATGGAACTCTTCCTGAAAGTCTTGGGCAACTTGTGATGTTAAATATTTAGATATATCTCATAATTTGATGAAGGGTGTTGTCTCTGAGATTCAGTTGGCCAATCTTACAAGATTAAGTTACTTAGATGGAAATGGGAACAATTTAACTTTGAAAGTGCATGATGGTTGGATCCCCACTTTTCAAGTTAGAGATTTGATGTTGGCCTCTTGGCAATTAGGGCCGCAATTTCCAACTTGGCTTCGATGCCAAGGACAATTAGAAACATTGGACATAGCCAACACAGGAATTTCTGATTCCATTCCGCAATCGTTTTGGCCCAAAATTTCCAACCTTTCGCAATTAAATCTCTCTCCTAACCAAATTCATGGAGTGATTCCCAGAAATTTGAGGTTTTCATTAGTGCTTATGTGATTGACCTAAGTTTCAATAACTTCAAGGGTATACTACCATTCATCTCCTCTACTGTGGTACGGTTAGATTTTTCAAATAATTCTTTTTTAGGATCTGTTTACCACGCCTTATGTGGTAGGATGAGGAAACAAAATTGGCTGACTGTTCTTAATCTAGGAAACAATTATTTGTCTAGAAGAATTCCTAATTGTTGGCAGGATTGGCAATATTTGCAAGTCTTAAGATTAGAAAATAACAAATTGATGGGTACCATTTAGCTTCCCTTGAATAATTGCACTTGCGACATAACAACCTCTCAAGGAAACTACCGCAATCTCTACAACATTGTGTAAACTTGGTGCTCATTGATCTTGGTGCAAATCAATTTATTGGAAGCATACCTACTTGGTTGGGGAACTCATTTTCAATTGGTAGTTCTTAACCTTCGTTCAAATAAGTTTCAAGGTGGTATTACATATGAGCTATGTCGTCTAAGTTCTCTTCAAATCTTGGATCTCGCACATAATAATCTCTCAAAATTTGTGCCAAAATGTTTCAACAAGTTTATGGCCATGGCAAAAGAACAAAATTCAAGCAATCTCATTTATTATTACGGATTCAATTCCACAACAGTAGTTCCAGAAAATGCATTTTTGGTCACCAAAGGAAGAGAGGTTGAATATACCACCACCCTTAACTTGGTTACAAGCATGGATCTTTCTGAAAACAATTTATCTAGAGAGATCCCCAAGGGAATAACTAGACTAGTAGGGTTGCATTCATTGAATCTGTCTGGAAATCATTTTACGGGAAAGATCCCAGGGAATATTAGTGATATGAAACAACATGAATCCTTGGATTTCTCTCTAAACAAACTTTGTGGTGAAATTCCTTTGAGCATGTCAAGTTTGACATTCTTGAGTCACTTAAATTTGTCTTATAATAATTTGATAGGACAAATTCCATTAAGTACTCAGCTTCAAAGCTTTGAGAACTCTAGCTTTGTCGATAACAAACTCTATGGACCTCCACTCCCAAACTGCGACACAGACAAGGCAATACCTAAAGTTGGACATGGAGGCAATGAAGAAGGAGAGGGATTTCTAGAAGTGTGGTTCTATGCGATATCGGCACTTGGATTTGTTGTGGTGGGTCCTTTACTATTCAAGATGCATTGGAGAATTGCTTAGTTTTGATTTCTTGATGATATTTGGTACAACTTATGTAATTTTATTTTAAAATGTCACTATATTTGTAATTGAAGGAATTGCTCATTTATTCCCTCATAAATAATTATGTGTAATAATTGATGTACTTTGCTGTTTCCTTTTGAGAAGGTTGGCATTGTCTAGGGCGCTACGGTATAGTGTGAAAAGAAAATGAATGATGAATTCATCAACCATTTGGTGTAAAAGTGTTAAAGGAATTTAAGCTTCTTGTTAAGCTCAAAATGCGATGAATGTTTTTTGAGATAGTTTTTTTTTTAAAATTTATTTATTTATTTATCAGCAAAGAAATGAAATCAAACAAACAAATATAAGATATTATATAAATAAATAAAGGCACGAGCAAAGAGAGTATTTAATTTAGTTCACTGGAATTATTTGGATGGGAATAAAATGACTATTTCTTGATCTCTCAATGGAATGATCATGCTCCTCATTGATGAATTTTAAATGAAATTACCATTTTATTTAAAAATCATTCAAAAAAATCAATGTAACGCTCCCAAATAAATGCTATAAACATCCACAATATCGATTACAAAACAACACAAGACTGAAATAATTATCTTTCATTTATCTCAATAGCCAGTGCAAGAGGTGACATATGCAAATATAAATTCATAAGTCTAACCCTGAATCTATAGCATATGTACAACAAGAGGTAAGATGTGAAAGTAAAACAGATAGATAAATGTCCTAAAGGCTTACAACTTTCCAAGATAATTCTTCATTACAACAAAAGTGGACTTTAGGTCCATTACATTTAAAGCCATTGGCTATACAAAAATGAATACAACAAAAAGAAGTTGTTGCTCCAAATTCTCCCAAGCTACTGACTTGGTGGAGGCATATCATCAACACCTGAAATGTTTTTTCCACATAAGGTGATCCAAAGCCCAGTAGAAATAATCTAACACAATACATGAATCTTAACAAAGCTATAAGGTGAATGCATGTGTCATGTTCTGGCTAAAACATATTTATATCCCTTTTCAAAACTATGCAATGTCAAGTTAATATGTTGATTCACAAATCATTTTCATTACAATAGAAAATAGGGTGGTGATTCACACTTTTAGACTTTCCAAACAATACAACATTTTTTGAAAATTTCGTTCGAAGGAAACCGTAAACCGAGACCCATGTAAACGTAGGATATATAAGCACTACTATTGCCATTTCATGAAAATTTCGTCCGTGGGATCAACACCCATGCATACGCGTGGTTTTCGGGACTTTCACCCAGGACACTCAGGTCAACTTAGTTCAACAATACAATTCATGTTTCCCTTATTCACCATTTTTCTCAAAATGATTACATTTTCAATGTATAAGTGTGAAATGATGCTCAATGCAAATGAATGAGAAAATAGTTTCAATTCTTCTAATTCACATGCAATTTCTACAACAATCATAGCTATCTTCCACCGATAGCCCAAAACAGATATCTCTAAACAGATAGTTTGTATTTCATAAAGATAAACTTTCCAAATCTCAAGAGGTGAGTGATAATACACACCCAACTCTACCATTCTTATCAATACCAATCCAATTTCATAATTTTAACATCAATTTCATTTATTTATACAAAATAAATATTTGAGACATTTAGGGCAAAACCCCATTTTTCTTCCAAAACATAATTCGTGTATATAACTCATTAACTTTGCCAAAACTTAGCCTCATTTTCATTCCCACAACTATTTTCAATACAACTATTTAAAAATCTCTCTTTTGATTTTAAACCAAAACCCTAGGTTTGTCCGAAATCCTCCAAAATCATGAGATTGTTTTATAAAGACAAATAGCTAAGTTAAAAATCATAAATGAGAGCAAAAAATTCCTACCTCAAAGCTAGAAGACGAGACAAACATGGAAGAAACTCAGATGAAGCTGAAACCCAACTCTATTGGGATGAAAACGAAGCTTTAGGTGAGCTCTACCTTTTTAACAAAGGAAGTAGGGTAGAGAAATGGGAAGATCTTGGTGTATTTGTAGAGAGAGTGTGAGTTTTAGAGAAAAAGTGCCTCAACATAGGTTTTTGAAGTGTTTTAGAGAGAAAGTGAGATGAAAAAGTGATGTAAAATGGCTTGTTTACGAATTGATATACGCACAGTCCACTCAAGTGCAAGATGTGTTGCTTGAGCATCTAGACACAATAAGTTGTTCTGCTCGAGCGCAAGAAGTTTTGCTTGAGAGCAGAATACACACTCCTAGTAGTTTTGCAAATAGAAGTCTAACATTCGAGCGCAAGAAGGGACGCTCGAGCGCAGGAGACACCGCTCGAGTGTAGAATACACTTTCTCCGTAGTTTTGCAGACCTGTAAAAGTATTGAGAGTTTGCAAAGACCGCTCGAGCATGGAGGCAAAAATCAAGGCAACCAAAGTTTTGAAAAACAAGATACCAACCCATTCTAAATGCAACCAACACATTCCAAAAGCTAAACTCAAGGAGGAAAAGGAGGAATAAGACATGAACAACAGTACAAAACAAAGAAATGCGAATCCAAAATATCAAATGGGTTGGGTCTTAAACCAGAATCGCTATAATCTTTCCCCCTTAAGGAATTTCGTCCCCAAACTTATAAATCAAACTTTAAAACCATGTTTAAACCAATTACAACAATGATAATCAATCAATCCCAATACCATGACCCATCTACCAGTCACTCATTCTCATCAATATGATAAACAAAGTCTCAATACTAAATATATAATTCACATTTTCAAAACATATACAATGTTCATATTAAATCAACATAACAAAAGTTTCAATACATGCTCAAACATTAACAAATAGGTCAAGATACTTCTCACGGACTTCCAACTCACATTCCCAAGTTGCTTCCTTAACTCCGTAATGTCGCCACAATACTTTAACCAAGGAAATTGTCTTGCCTCGTAAGACTTGGTTTCGAGTATCCAAGATTTTCACCTGTTTTTCCTTATACAAGGCATCTTCGGCTACCTCTAACTCGGTCCAATCCAACACGTGCGATGGATCCGGCTCATACTTCCGAAGCATATAGATATGAAACACGTCATGAACCCTGAAAAGTTGTGGCGGTGAGGCCAAGCAATAAGTGACCTCTCCAATTCGTTCTAGGATCTCAAAAGGCTCGATAAATCTAGGAGATAACTTCCCTCTCCTTCCAAACCTCATTAAACCCCGCCTAGGTGATATCTTCAAAAAGACATGATCTCCTACCTCAAAAGACAAAGGTATCCTCCTACGGTCGACATAACTTTTCTGGTGACTTTGGGCAGTAGCCAACCTCTTAGGAATAAGAGCGATTTTCTCAGTCGTTTCCTGAACCAACTCAGGACCTATCAAAGGTGCATCACATATCTCGGCCCAACACATAGGAGATCTACATGGTCGGCCATACAAGGCCTCAAATGGTGCCATGCCAATACTCAATTAGAAGCTATTATTATAGGCAAACTCCACTAAGGGCAAATGTTTCTCCCATAACCCTTTAAAGTCAAGAACACAACCCCAAAGCATATTCTCTAGAATCTGAATGCTGCACTCTAACGCTAGTCTGAGAATGATACGCGGTACTAAATGCCAATCTCATGCCCAAGGCATTCTGTAGGCTCTGCCACAAACGAGCCGTAAAATGCAGATCTCTAACCTAAATAATAGTCACAAGGACCTCATGAAGTCTCACTATGCCCCTAATATAGAGATCGACTAGATAATCTACCAAGTCACTCACGCGTATAGGTACAAAGTGCACCGATTTGGTTAACCGGTCAACTACCACCCAAATTGCATCACTACCCCCATTGAGTCCTCGAAAGGCCTGCAACAAAATCCATTGTGACATGCTCCCACTTTCACTCGGCTATAGGTAAGGGTTGCAACAAACCCGTTGGCCTCTGATGTTTGACTTTCACTTGTTGACAAATAAGGCACCTCGATACAAATACGGCCACATCCTTCTTCATCCCCTTCCACCAAAACTGACGACTAAGATCGTGATACATCTTTGTGCTTCCTAGATGCATCACAAGGCGTGAATGGTGAAACTCTCAGAGTACTTCCTCTCGGTAAGACCCTGGTACGAAAAGACGGTCACAGTAGCTAACACTCGAATCGGGATACATATTGAAGCCTTTCTCTACCTTCCTACTAAAGATCTTTTCCCGGAGGGTTTCTACCTCAAATTCACTCTTCTGACTTCTATCACTTGGTTCACAAGCGTAGGTTTTGCAACTATCGTAAACAAGGCTGCAAACTTAACGGATGATAATACAACTCAAAGTCATAATCTTCTATAAACTTAATCCACATCCACTGCCTCAGATTCAAGTCTTTTTATGTAAACAGATATTTCAGACCCTTGTGATTGGAAAATACTTCAAATTTCTCACCATACAAATAATGCCTCCAAATTTTCAAGGTAAAGATCGCCGCTGCTAACTCTAAGTCATGAGTAGGATAGTTTCTCTCATGTGTTTTCAACTGCCGTGAGCCATAAGATACTACTTTTTCCTCTTGCGTCAGTACATAACCCAAACCTTCCCGAGATGTGTCATAATACACCGAATAGCCCAAACCCTTCTCCGAAATAATCAATACTGGAGCAGTGGTAAGTCTAGCCTTAAGCTCTTAGAACGACTTTTCATAAGTCTTACTCCACACAAATTTAGTTCCTTTCCTCGTCAGTCTAGTCAATGGTGAGGCTAGCCTAGAAAAATACTTCACAAACCGACTGTAATACTCGACCACCCCTAAGAAACTACGGATCTCAAAGGCATTCTTAGGTTTTTCCCAATCTTGTACGACTTCTATCTTGAATGAATCTACAGTCACCCCTCCCTCGGATACCACATAGCTTAAGAACTTTACTTCTCTCAACTAGAATTCACACTTCCTGAACTTATCATAAAGTTTGTGGGCTCTAAGTAACTCAAGCACAACTCGTAGGTGTTTCTCGTGTTCCTCCTCAGAGGGT